GCTTCTCAAACGATTTGGCCTCACCGTCGTAGCCACTGGTGACTCAGCGGACACCACGGCGCCTCGTGCGCCGCCGAGCAACACAGAGCAGGCTGCTCAAGAGTCAGTGTGGGGTCCACCCAGTCCCGTTCCAGCCGCGAACGGTGCAGATGGAGACGGCTGGGCCGTCGTCCAGCGCCGACAGGGTGGTCGGCGCCCCCCGGCGCAGGGTAAGGCGCCACCCACCCCGCCCCGCCCCCGACCGTCTACGGCGGTGCAGGAGGCGCTGCGGCGGGGAGAGGAGGAGAGGAGGGCACGAGAGGCGAGGAGGGCTCGCCTCGTCCAGAAGGCCCTCGAGGCTAAGGAAGCCTCGTCTGCCGACTCCGCCTCCGGGAGTGCCAATGCGGCTGTTGCCGCTGACACCCCGGAGACACCTGAGGCGGGGACTCGGCCCATCATGGGTCCCCCGCCGCCTCCTCCACCTCCGCAGCGGCGGCCACCACCGCCGCTGCCAGAGACGCCTGTGTCGAGGACACAGGCCGCCGCCCCGACATCCCCGTCGGGGCGGCAACAGCCCTCCGCGGCTCCAGGGCGCCTCGCCAAGCGGCAGACGCCCCCGAGCTGGTCGCCCTCGGAGGGTGACGCCCCCCGGGCGAAAAAGCCCCAGCAGGGCTCGAGCCACGCCCGATCTGCCTCTGCTGAAGGGAGGCTACACCGAGAGGGCTCGGGGCATCCCCGTATCCGTTACGGGGGGAGCGCCTCCTCGGAGTTAGAGGAACTAGTCTAGTCTTTCAGTCTAGTCATTTCCTCTTTTATCCTTTTATCTTTTTCGCGCTATTGCGCTTTTTTACCAGGTGCATTTCTCTCGGTGCTTTTTACCCTTTTTTGTGGTCAGTCAGGTATCTGTGTGCGCCTTTGCCTCATGTTATACGCGCCCTATTTGCGCCTTTTTAACCACGCCTTTTATTCTACAGTGGAACTGTAGAGGCCTCCGGGCCAACTACCAGGACCTACAGTCTCTTATCTGTTGGCGCACACCCCTTGTTTTAGGTCTCCAGGAGACCAAGCTAGCGCCAAACGTTACCTTTGCCATCAAGGGTTACTCTGTTTTTAGAAGAGACTTAGACACCCCGACCATTGCCCATGGAGGTGTACTTTTGGCAGTGCACCACAGTGTGCCTGCGCGCCACATTTCGCTGCAGACCCCTCTGCAAGCAGTGGCCGCTAGAGTTGATTTCAACCACCGGGAGCTGACAGTCTGTTCTTTATACCTTCCACCAGGTATAGCGCTCCCGGTGGTTGAGCTACATCGACTTGTCGATGAGCTTCCACCTCCGGTCCTGGTAGTCGGCGATTTTAATGCCCATAGCCTGGCGTGGGGATGCGACACGACTGGCACTCGTGGTCGACTTTTAGAATCCTTTATCCGCGATGAGGCGCTGTGTATTTTAAATACAGGACAGCGCACCCATTTTACAACACCCTCCGGTCAAACATCGGCTCTGGACCTGAGCTTAGTCAGTCCGCGGCTAGCTCAGCTTTTTACCTGGTCCGTCCATGACGACCCACTCGGGAGCGACCACTTCCCAGTGTGGCTGGAGCACCAGGAGTCCCCAGTGTCAGGCAACCGTCCACCTAGGTGGAATGTTCGGAAAGCCGACTGGGGCGAATTCCAGGCCGCTGTAGAGGCCTCTGTTTTATCCAGAGCCGACCCCTCTGTGATGTCTACAGAGGATTTTACATGTTTACTCATTGACTCCGCAAACGGGTGCATACCCAAGACGTCGAGTCAGCCTCGTCGTCCTCCGGTCCCGTGGTGGACCAAGGAATGCGGAGATGCGATTCGTGCCAGGAAGCGCGCTTTTAGAAAGTTTGACCGGAGTAGTACTACTGAGAACCTCATCGCTTTTAAGAGAGCGCGGGCTTTTGCCCGACGCGTTTTAAAGGAGGCAAAGGCTGTTTCATGGCGCACTTACGTAAGTTCCTTAAACCGTTTTACTCCTACGACCCAAATATGGGCACGCATGAAGCGCATTGAAGGCCGGTTCAGCTCTGTTCCGCTTCCGGTTTTAAGAGTGAACAACACGGACATATCTCACCCTTCAGACGTCGCAGAGACGATAGGCCGTGCACTCTATCAGCGCTGCCGAGGAGAGCCGTCCTCACGACCTGCACCAGCCGCCGTGGACTTCAGCACAGCTGAAAATTTGGTGTACAACGAGCCTTTCTCTATGGCTGAACTCACGTCTGCCATCAGCTCGTTGCGCAGCGTCTCAGAAGGTCCGGATGCTGTCCACAACGACATGCTCCGTCATCTCCCGGCAGTTGCCCTCGAGGCGCTGCTAGCAACTTTCAATTCGCTGTGGGAGACTGGCACTTTCCCTGAGACCTGGCGAGAAGCCACTATCATTCCTATCTTGAAGGCTGGCAAGTCGGGACATGACCCTCTCCACTATCGGCCCATCTCTCTCACATCATCGCTTTCAAAGCTGATGGAGAAGATGGTCAATGTGCGTCTTAGCTGGTTTCTGGAACATCACGGTGTTTTTACAAACGCCCAGTGCGGTTTTAGAAAGCACCGCAGCCCTGTTGACCACATTTTAGCCCTCGACACCGAGATACGCACCTGTTTTACTGAAAAGAAGCACCTTGGAGCACTGTTCTTTGATATTGAGGCGGCCTATGATACAGTGTTACGACACAGAATCCTTTCCAAAGTACACAAGTACGGCATACGCGGCCGGATGGGCCTCTTTATCAAGAACTTTTTATCGGATCGTCGGTTCAAAGTCCGAGTTGGCAGTTGTCTTTCGAGCAGTTTTACGCAAGAGAACGGGGTTCCCCAAGGCGGAGTTCTCAGTGTGGCGCTGTTCGCTGTGGCGATCAATGATATTGGCGACAAACTTGCACCATCCATCGGCAGATCGCTATTTGTCGATGATTTCGCGATCTGGCTTTCTGCCACGACCGCCCGTCACGTTGCCAGACAGTTGCAGCTCGCTGTAACCCGTCTAGAGAGGTGGAGCGACGACAACGGCCTTCGTTTTTCAACAACTAAGACCGTCGCTATGCACTTTTGCCGCCGCCGCTGCGACGACTTAGCCTTGGGAATCAAGCTCCGTGGACAGGTGATTCCTACTCGGCCGGTGGCGAAGTTTCTTGGGATATTTTTTGACAGTCGTTTGACGTATAGAGAACATTTTAGAACGCTTCGGGAACGATGTTTTAAATTCCTGAACGTTTTAAAATGTGTTGCCCGCACATCTTATGGCGCGGACCGCAGGACGCTCCTTCTTTTATATCGGTCGATCGTCCGATCGAAACTGGATTACGCATGCTTTGTTTACGACTCTGCCAGCGAATCCAGTAAAAAGGCTCTTGACTCCGTGCACCACGCGGCGCTACGTGTTGCCACAGGTGCATTCCGCACGTCGCCCAAGAGCAGCCTCCTCGCCGAGGCACACGAACCGCCACTATCTCTCCGCCGTCAGATGCTGGGGATGAGGTACGCACTGAAACTCTGCCAGTTCCCAGGACATCCGACGTATCCGTACGTCTTTTCTCCTGATTTTAATCGTCTTGACAGAGTGCGACAATCGGTCTCCTTCGGATTGCGCATAAAAGAGCTCTTTTCTACAGTCAACATAGAGTTCCGTGAAGTGCGACGTACGTGGGGTACGCCCTCTCCGCCATGGAAATACGCTCCAGCGCAAGTAGACCTCACGCTCTCTGAGGTCAAGAAGGACGACCTACCGCCATGTGCGCAACGAGCACGGACATTGGAACACATTGCGTCATACGACGGTTTTATCTCGGTGTTTACAGACGGCTCGAAAACGGAGGACGGCGTCGGCTGCGCTTTCGTGGCTGGTCGCGACACGCGCACTTTTTCATTGCCTTCCTCTGCCTCCGTTTTCCTCATCCGAGCTCGTTGCAATCGAGAAGGCGTTGTGTTTTATCGAGGTGTCTGACAACTTGTCTTACCTCATTTTATCGGATTCTCTCAGCAGCCTGCTGGCTATACAGAGGTTTAACCCAGACAATCCGATAGTCCAAGACATTTTATCTCGGCTCACGTCGGTGGAGCAGTCAGGCAAAACTATTAAGTTTTGCTGGATTCCAAGCCATGTGGGTATAACTGGCAATGAGCTCGCCGACGCGGCCGCGAGACGCGCGGCCGCGGCTCCATGCCTTCGGCGTTTGCCCCTGCCGGCTCGTGATTTTTACCCAGCCATCCAAACCTTCACGATGTCAAGCTGGCAGGCAGAGTGGCATCTCCAAGGATCTGGGAAGCTGCGGAGCGTAAAGCCTACCTTGGAGCCCTGGCAGTCTTGCTTCCAAAGCAACAGGCACCAGGAAGTGGCCCTCTGCAGATTACGTATTGGTCATACGTACGCGACTCATGGCTATCTCCTCCGTGGAGAGGAACAACCCACATGCAGTCGGTGCGCCGTGCCTCTCACTGTCTCTCACGTGCTTTTATCTTGTCCTCTCGCTGAACCGAACCGGACACGCTATCTCGGGCGCATCGCTCCGGATACCACTATCCGCCACCTTCTGGGTGACGACTCACCCTGGGTTTTATCCGGCAACATTTTCTCCTTTATCCGTTCGATCAACTTCCAAGTGATTTACTCGACCTGACATTAAATCCAACTAGTCCTCTCTAGTCCTTACATCTAGTCAGTTGTCTAGGACGACACTCTTGCGCTGCTTTATCTTACCTTGCTCTTTTATATCGAGTCATTTACTTTTAAGTCTTCGTATCTAGAAGGTTCTCTCTTTTGACACACTTGTTTTATTAAAACGACGTTATGGGCGCAAAATGACCTAAGTAGTTGGCGCGCCCTAAAGCCCCAATTAACAAACAAACATATGTGAACCCGGCCCTAAAGTCACTGGGCATGCCCGCCGTCGGTCTGCCGAAGCACGACTGTGGCCTCACGGGCCAGGACTGTCACCGCACGTCTCACATACTGTGATATCACGGCCCGCTGGCTGACCCAACGTTCTCCGATCAGGTCCAACCATACATGGAGGGTGTGAAACTCAGCAACCTGATGTCGACGATGCAGAAACACTACGGCGACCCGGCCAACGTTCGACCGCTGGACACGGGTGATATCGTCAGCGGACAGTTCTGCGCGGTGAAAAACCCAGAGGACGGCGTCTGGTACCGGTACGACAGCAGGAGAGAGGGAGGGGAGAGAGAGAGAGAGAGAGAGAGAGAGAGAGAGAGAGAGAGAGAGAGAGAGAGAGAGAGAGAGAGAGAGAGAGAGAGAGCACGGGTGCGTTCATTTGCGCCGTCCCGAGCAAGTGGGGAAGAGTGGTTGAGTGAAAGACTTACGAATAAAACTTTTTTAACTGAACACTGCGTCGACAAACTCTCGGCGCTGCGGCATCTTGGACCTTGAAAGCAGCATTATTTTTCCTACATAGTGCAATCATTTTTTTTATTGTTACTAATTTTCCTTATACTCGTACCTGGTGAGCTCTTCGCCAGATAGCCATATCGACATCGACTGCATCGTCAGCGATATCAAAAATCGATATTCAAAAGCAAACCTGCCACTAGCTTCTAGTCGCTTGCTCTCGGCGTTGGTTGCCCTGCGTCAGTGCTGACACCTGATGTCATGACCTACCCCATCCCCGTCCCTCCCTCCCCCTGCCCGCTATTCCCGTGATTGGACCGATCGAATGTCATCCATGTCATCACCGCCTCCTCTCTTCAGAGACAGACATCACACTGCCGCCCCTCAATACTCCAACTGTGCGATAAATGTCGATGGCCTCTGAAGTCCGGGCGCCCTAAAACCACAAATCCCATCATCAAAACCATATTATCATCATTATCAACAGCAAATCCCTCGCCTGTCCCAATCTACAGACAGGCAGGCCTTCCAGCTCTCCCCCAAGGTTCCAGTCTACGGGCAGAAGACTCTTTATCTCCCCTCAATGGCCCTCGCCCACTGATAAACGGTCCCCAGGACCCCTCCCCCTGTATGTAGAGCCACTCCCCACCCCTCACTGCTGCGGCTGTGATCGACCAACAGTCGTCACTCGCCCCGGGAAAAGACATTTAGCGGGGCGTTGGATATCGGACGATTGACAACCAGGATTTCATACCGCCACATAATTTCCCCGGTCCCGCACGCCAACTACGTCGAGGGTGTTCCCCACCCCCCACACACATACACACACAAACCGGATTGTCTCCCTCCGCACACATGTCGCTTTTTGGGCGGGTTCCCCGTTGGCGGCCGTGTCCCTGACATTTAACGAGGCTGTCACTCAAACGGCGAATTTTCAGTTTGTTTCATGAGCTTAGCTTGTTCCCTGGTCTTTGTGTATGATTTTTGCAAAGCATTAGAATGTGGTGGTTATCTGATATGAAAGGAACTCTTAAATGATACGCTAAAGTGAATCAAATCAAGAATGTCTTTGAATGCTGATCAGTGTTGGTTTTTTACGAACATACGGTGAATGCAATTACATATAGTCGTGTGCGATGTAATAACTACTTCAGTGATCATTGCTAAGCTAGTGTAGCCTGCTGCTAAACTGCTGAGCGTTTTCTGCTGAACTGCTTAGTGCTTATCGATGATATGCCGAACCATCCGCTGCTGAGCTACCTGCTCACCGATCTTTGTCTACTACTAAAGCGTGTCGGCAGCTGAGCTGTTTGCTGGACTACTGCGAGATTCGATGTATCTCATCCATCCTTCCTCTGCAGGGCGCGAGTGGAGACCCGGCTGGACAGCGGGGAGGTCACCATCAAGTTCATCGACTACGGCGACTTCAGCTACGTGCCTCTGTCGCCGAGCTGCGTGCAGCCGCTGCCCCACCCGTTCCGGCAGCTGCCTGGCCAGGCGGTGAAGGCGCGCCTGGGCGGTGTGCGGCCGGCTGGCTCCGACTGGACGATCGACGACTGCATCGCGCTGCAGCGGCTGCTCTCGGCCGAGGGAGGAGGCGGCGCGTTCGTAGCCGAGCTGCTCGACTTCAGCCGGGACGCCATCACGCGTGAGCAGCTCATCATCGTGCGCCTGGTGGACACGTCGGGCGACTCGGATGTGTACGTGGACCGGCTGCTGGTGCGGGCCGGGAACGCGGTGCACACGGGCGAATACTATACGGTGTGATGGACCGATGAACCCGCCGCCACCGTGCCGGGGATTCCCCGTGTCACGTGATATCTCCAGCCGTCAGCAATGTATCCGGGTGTGTGGTAGCGAAATGTCACGTGTTGTGGGCGAGTCCGCTGGACTGCGCCGGCGCGGCCCTGTGATACTGCTAGCCGACTGCGCCGGCGCAGCACGCTACAATACTCGGCGGATGGGGGCCCGTGCGGCGCGGGCAGCGGCAGCTGAGCCAGTGCGACGACTACGGCTGGGCTGTTTTATAGTCTCCCCAGCATTATAGAACGGTGGTGTGAAACGGCGCTATGCAATGTACACACAGTCAAGTGTCTTATTCCGTGTCTGTGGGACATCTCGGTAGCAAACCGGTTGGCCGTGACGTGCAAACGGTGATCGAGGCTAGGTATGTTGGAAGAGAGCACTCCGCCAGTTACGCAGTTCAGAATTTAATATACGTTGGCATAACGGTACATCTTTCTGTCAAAGGTTTTGTGGTTTGAGCTACTGCGCATATCAATGGATGCAAACATGATTCACTCGATGTCAGCTCGATTGAGTGACAAACCAAAGCTAATTACTGGGGAAAGTGCAAGCAAAAATAGCCATTGCCCGTAGTTTGTCCATGTGCTGACTTCCGAGTAACTTTAATCATAGTCCCAGAGCTATGATTTTCGGCTTCGTCGAAATGACGAATTATTCGACGTGGTATGGCGAAGGCTGTGCCTACGCAGTACACACCATCACACACTATCAATTGACGCGGTCTAGACCAAGTTGACGCAATGGTAGAGAACATTGCTCTCATTCGGCCTGAACCCGAAAACAATTATTATTAATTGTTTATAAATTATAAATTGTTTATTATAAATCGAAACGGCAGTCGGCATTCTAACGCGTTTGGGGTTGCTGACGCATCAATACCAACCCAGCATGAAGAAAATACCCGAAGCGTCCCCGAATCGAATCAACTGCGGCCTCGTGCTATACATACCTGCACCGGTAGCCGGTGCAGTGGCAGGGCTGCTTTGCTGCACTGCCCCCAAATGCCGTCTGCCTGCAGGACCGTCGCACGACCGACAGTCACAGCCTGTGGCGGCCTCTCATAATCTGTCATATGACTTGTGAGGATTTCAAAAAGGAATGAAAGACCGTTAACTAATCGAAAATCACTACATTGGCAAAGCACGCGAGATGTCCAACTTGCTGCAAGATAAAGGTGGATGGAGAATGCAAGAAAAGGTGGTGGACAGGAATGTGCACACAAAAAATGTCCGTTGTTTAACCCGCGCCCCGCTGGCGGTCCTGGATTTCCACGCCTTGCTGGGGGGAGGGGGTGAACCCCCCCCCCTTCTAGCTCGGCTTTTGGGCCACCTAGCGACACGAGAAAGGCGGCGTTTGAAAGAGCGTAAAAAATAAGAAAGAAATTAGGTATATGGGTCACCTTTTTGGTCAGGTCATTGGTCAGGTCATCAGAGGTGATTGAAGGCAAACATTCGCCGATTTCCAGGTCAAATTTCGACAATTCAAAAATCGACGCCCAGCTCGGAGACTAATAGAGCTACAGCGCCGCGGAAAATTGCATTTTATAGCCCTATTACCGTTCTTTCTGATTAATTCTCTCAGATTTGACCCATCGTTGATCGTCGACGGTTTTGCGTGCAGGGAACAAAAACTGCAAAAAATAGACGATTAAAAAAAGTTTTCTGCGATAACTTTTGACTCAAACCTTGCACGAGCTTTCTTTTACGGGCATCGCATCGTGTTCTTCTCATCAAGATGCATCGAATGAACCATCATTTGACCTTGAAAGGTCAACTTGAAAATTCGACCTCAGGTCAAGGTCATGACCTGACCGGTAAGGGTCATGTTGCATATCAGACGATCTGTATGGGCGAGCCGAACACAACCAAGGTGTTTCCATCGCTCTAGCATGCCTCTATCAAAAGTTATTCGCGAAAAACTGTCAGCTACCATTCGTGACCTGAGACTTGAGAGACCTCAGAGGTGTAAAAAGGAGTCACGGCTGCCATTTGCATGTCAAATTTACTTGTAATGCAGTGTTTGAGAGTGTTATAATGACTTTCGTCCAAAACAGGCGCCTTTCAATTTTCTTCCGTTGAGACATAGGTAATAGAGATGTCGCAAAATTAACCTTACCCTAGGTCACCGATGTCAAAATTCCGAGCTAGGTAGTACATTTTGTATATGTTTATATACTGTTGCTCTAATCAATCGCTGAAAGTTTCAAGGCGATCGGTCACTTGGTGTAGCTATGGCAGACATTAAAACTTTTTACGTAGGAGTTAGGTCACTTAACGTGACCTGGCGACCTAACCTTTAGTGACCTGCGTCTGAAATTCTCACAACATGTGCAGAAAAGATGTATAAAAAGGTGTGCCAAAAACGGCGGCGCTCAGCACTGCCTTTTTTAGATATTCGCGAAAAACCACAAAGGGGTGCTCAACCCCCCCCCCCCCCCAGCAGGGCTCGGGTTAATGCCTCACAGTAGCGCTTCTCTCCCGACTTTAACATAGCAGAAAAATGACAGTAACACGTATAGTTAGCCGCTGGAATAACCCATGTAAAATATAATATGGATGGTATCGTAGGTATGGATATAACCCATGTAAAATGCGCCCATATAGTTTATCCTCGTACATAAAGGGGAGTAGCCGTTTACAGGCCAATGCTCGACATTATATAATTATATATAATATGTATACAGTGGCAGATGGGGTGGATTCCTGGTGACCCCGCTGCCAGCGCGAGTCCACCTCGGTCTGTGACGCTCCGTCCCAGGCGCGTCCGTGACGGCCTGTGACGCTCCGTCCGAGGCGCGCCCGTGACGGCCTGTGATGCTTCGTGTGAGTGACAGTGACGGCCGCCGTGTGACGCGGTGTCGCGGCCGTCACCCGTCAGCGGCAGGTCCGGGGGCGGTGACGCGCGTGACGGCTCTCCCACGCGGCACGGTACCACGGCCGGAGCTCACTGACCAGTGGCGCCGGCCGTTCGGCTGCAGCGCGTGCCGCGTCAGTGTCCATCTGTGCCCGTCTGAGGCTGCCTCTGATACCTACAGCACGTCCATCCGCCGCCCTGCCCACTGCACTGGTCACAGGTGAGTACCGAGTGATCACTGAGTTTACGGGCGGAGCGCCATGGCCCATGGATCTAACATTTCACCATTTCCCAATAATTGTGAATGTTTGTATCTTGGAAATTTGAGAATGTGGTCAGCTCCAAATAATAAAATAGCATTGCGAATGCTGGCTAAAATTGATAGCGCATAAACATGTAACTAAATGTTGAACGAAGACTTATCTAAAATGAAAAAGAAATGATCAATAACTTTTCAATGGTGAATGGACCTGACAAAGTCACTTAAATAATAAAAAAACCCGAGCGGATTTACCGTCTTCCCATAAAATAATAGAAGAAATGCGAGAAAGCAGGTGCCTGAGTCTCTCAAACATTCCGAGCCTGTCGCTTCCAAGACACGCCAGTCCCTCGTCCCGGTCACTTCTCCCAGTCAGTCTTCCCTGCGAGCCAGACGGTCCATCGTCCCAGCCCGACAGGCGGTGTCGGTTTAGTAAAGTTGGTGGCTTGCTTTCTCGACGGGATTAGTGACTAGCTCGATTCTCGATCTGAAAATTGTTCATTGTGCAAAATAAACACTGTCCTATTGTGCATTTTTCTGCTATTACGTAATAACGGGCTATAGAAAAACTTCCGTTAACCATACATTTTATGCAGAAGATGGGATAAACGGGCAACAAAAGTCACGGAGGAACGCGTTACGAAGTTATAATTTTGCTGAACGATGCCCACTTACATGAGTCGCCATGCTCATTGTTCACCATGTCTTCATCACCGAGATTTGAACGAATAACTACTTTTCAAATCATCTCATTTTGATGCCGCTACAGTGCAGCTCCGCAATCCAAACGTCTGCGCTGGTAGGCTACTTGTTTGTTTATTGGGGCTTAAGGGCGCGCCGACTACAAGGTCATTTTGCGCCCATAACTATATACAAGTAAAGCAAGTGTGTCACAAGAAAACCGACGTAATAAAAGGCTTAAAAAAGCCTAAAAGCTGGTTAAAAAGAGCAAAGAAGGGTAAAATACTCCAAGCGTATCGTAAAAGACAGCTGACTAGGCGTAAGGACTAGTTGGTTTGGTATCAGATCGAGTAGATTACTTGGAATTTGATTGAACGGATAAAGGAAAAGATGTTGCCAGATAAAACCCAGGGTGACTCGTCACCCAGCAAGTGGCGGACGGTGATATCCGGAGCGATGCGGCCCAGGTAGCGAGTCCGGTCCGGTTCCAAGCCGCCAAGCGTCGACAAGATAAAAGCACGTGGGCGACGGTGAGAGGCACGGCGCACCCGCCGCAAACGGGCTGCTCATCTCCGCGGAGAAGGTGGCCATGCGTCGCATACGTATGACCGATGCGGAGCCTGCATAAAATCACTTCGTTTGACCTGTTGTCTTGCGAGCAAGACCTCCAATGCTCCAGAGTCGGCTTCACCTCTCGGAGCTTCCTGCCTCCACGCAGGCGCCACTCTGCCTGCCACTCCGTTAGAATAAAAGATCGTACAGCAGGGTAAAAATCACGCGCCGGCAATGGCAACCGACGAGTGCAGGGTGCTGCAGCAGCACGCCTTGCAGCCGCGTCTGCCAGCTCATTGCCATGAACGCCAACGTGACTGGGAATCCAGCAGAACTGAACAGATTTACCCGATTGTTCTACTGACTGAAGCCGAGCTAAAATGTCTTGAACGATCGGGTCGGCTGGATTAAAACTCCGTAGGGCCAACAGGCTGCTTAGGGAGTCCGATAAAATCAAGTAAAAAGGTCCGTCCGATACCTCAATAAAACACAAAGCCTTCTCGATGGCAACAAGTTCCGATGAAAACACCGAGGCGAAAGATGGCAACGAAAATGAACGGGTATCGTCGCCAGCGACGAAAGAACAGCCCGCTCCCTCAGGTGTTTTAGAGCCGTCTGTGAATACAGGAATAAAACCATCGTAAGAGGCAAGGTGTTCCAAGGCTCGGACTCGTGCCTCTGCAGGCAGCAACTTGCACTTTGGAACTGCAGAAAGCGAAAGATCCACCTGTGGACTGACACTTTTCCACGGTGGAGGGGGCGCAGCCCAGGTACGACGAACGTTACGCAATGCTATGTCAGCTATTGAAAACAGTTCTTTCATGCGCACTCCGAACGAGGGTCGTAACCTTCCGTTACATCGGGTGGCATGCCGTAAAAAAACGTATGGGTACGTCGGGTGCATAGGAAATTGGCGCAGTTTCAGCGCGTACCGCATACCCAACATCTGACGGCGGAGTGAAAGTGGCGGTTCATGCGCCTCAGCAAGAATGCTGCTCCTGGGCGAGGTGCGGAATGCTCCGGTGGCTACTCGGAGTGCTGCATGATGGACTGTATCCAGGACCCTCTTGCTAGATTCACTCGCTGAATCGTAGACAAAAGAAGCGTAATCTAGCTTCGATCGTACAATAGATCGATATAGAAGAAGAAGGGTCCTGCGGTCCGCACCATAAGATGTGCGGGCGACACATTTTAAAACGTTCAGGGATTTAAAACATCGTTCCCGAAGCGTTCTAAAATGTTCTTTATACGTTAAACGACTGTCAAAAAAGATCCCAAGAAACTTCGCCACCGGACGAGTAGGAATCATCTGTCCATAGAGCTGGATTCCCAAGGGAAGGTCGCCGCAGCGGCGGCGGCAAAAGTGCATAGCGACGGTCTTCGTTGTTGAAAAACGAAGACCGTTGTCTCGACTCCATCTCTCCAACCGCGTCACTGCAAGCTGCAGCTGTCTGGCCATATGCCGAGCGCTTGAAGCGGCAAACCAAATGGCAAAATCATCCACGAAGAGCGATCTACCGATCGAGACCGGCAGATCATCAGCGATGTCATTGATCGCCACTGCAAAGAGCGCCACACTAAGCACCCCGCCCTGGGGAACTCCGTTATCTTGGGTAAAACTGCTCGAAAGACTACTGCCAACTCGGACTTTGAACCGACGACCCGATAAAAAGTTCTTAATAAAGAGGCCCATCCGGCCGCGTATGCCGTACTTGTGTACTTTGGAAAGTATTCTGTGTCGTAACACTGTATCATAGGCCGCCTCAATATCAAAGAACAGTGCTCCAAGGTGCTTCTTTTCAGTAAAACAGGTGCGTATCTCGGTGTCGAGGGCTAAAATGTGGTCAACAGGGCTGCGGTGCTTTCTAAAGCCGCACTGGGCGTTTGTAAAAACACCGTGATGTTCCAAAAACCAGCTAAGACGCACATTGACCATCTTCTCCATCAGCTTTGAAAGCGATGATGTGAGAGAGATGGGCCGATAGTGGAGAGGGTCATGTCCCGACTTGCCAGCCTTCAAGATAGGAATGATAGTGGCTTCCCGCCAGGTCTCAGGGAAAGTGCTAGTCTCCCAAAGCGAATTGAAAGTTGCTAGCAGCGCCTCGAGGGCAACTGCTGGGAGATGACGGAGCATGTCGTTGTGGACAGCATCCGGACCTTCTGAGACGCTGCGCAACGAGCTGATGGCAGACGTGAGCTCAGCCATAGAGAAAGGCTCATTGTACATCAAATTTTCAGCTGTGCTGAAGTCCACGGCGGCTGGTGCAGGTCGTGAGGACGGCTCTCCTCGGCAGCGCTGATAGAGTGCACGGCCTATCGTCTCTGCGACGTCTAAAGGGTGGGATATGTCCGTGTTGTTCACTCTTAAAACCGGAAGCGGAACAGAGCTGAACCGGCCTTCAATGCGCTTCATGCGTGCCCATATCTGGGTCGTAGGAGTAAAACGGTTTAAGGAACTCACGTACGTGCGCCATGAAACAGCCTTTGCCTCTTTTAAAACGCGACGGGCAAAAGCCCGCGCTTTCTTAAAAGCGATGAGGTTCTCAGTAGTACTACTCCGGTCAAACTTTCTAAAAGCGCGCTTCCTGGCACGAATCGCATCTCCGCATTCCTTGGTCCACCACGGGACCGGAGGACGACGAGGCTGACTCGACGTCTTGGGTATGCACCCGTTTGCGTAGTCAATGAGTAAACATGTAAAATCCTCTGTAGACATCACAGAGGGGTCGGCTCTGGATAAAACCGTGGCCTCTACGGCGGCCTGGAATTCGCCCCAGTCGGCCTTCCGAACATTCCACCTAGGTGGACGGTTGCCTGACACTGGGGACTCCTGGTGCTCCAGCCACACTGGGAAGTGGTCGCTCCCGAGTGGGTCGTCATGGACGGACCAGGTAAAAAGCTGAGCTAGCCGCGGACTGACTAAGCTCAGGTCCAGAGCCGATGTTTGACCGGAGGGTGTTGTAAAATGGGTGCGCTGTCCTGTATTTAAAATACACAGCGCCTCATCGCGGATAAAAGATTCTAAAAGTCGACCACGAGTGCCAGTCGTGTCGCATCCCCACGCCAGGCTATGGGCATTAAAATCGCCGACTACCAGGACCGGAGGTGGAAGCTCATCGACAAGTCGATGCAGCTCAACCACCGGGAGCGCTATACCTGGTGGTAGGTATAAAGAGCACACTGTCAGTTCCCGGTGGTTGAAATCAACTCTGGCGGCCACCGCCTGCAGAGGAGTCTGCAGCGGCACCTGGCGAGCAGGTACGCTGTGGTGAACCGCCAGAAGCACACCTCCATGGGCAATGGTAGGGGTGTCCAGGTCTCTTCTAAAAACAGAGTAGCCCTTGATGGCAAAGGTAACGTTTGGCGCTAGCTTGGTCTCCTGGAGACCTAAAACAAGGGGTGTGCGCCAACGGATAAGAGACTGTAGGTCCTGGTAGTTGGCCCGGAGGCCTCTACAGTTCCACTGTAGAATAAAAGGCGTGGTTAAAAAGGCGCAAAAAGGGCGCGTATAACATGAGGCAAAGGCGCACACAGATACCTGACTGACCACAAAAAAGGTAAAAAGCACCGAGAGAAATGCACCTGGTAAAAAAGCGCAATAGCGCGAAAAAGATAAAAGGATAAAAGAGGAAATGACTAGACTGAAAGACTAGACTAGGTCCTCTAACTCCGAGGAGGCGCTCCCCCCGTAGCGGATACGGGGGTGCCCTGAGCCCTCTCGGTGAAGC